ATACAACCCATATAGTTAACCATATCAATATGATTTGGTGTAGCTCCAGACCTTTCTAGAGTTTTATTGATTCATATATAATAGACAACAATAGAATCAGCACAGATCACAGAACCCAGGTCACATACATGGAAACTTGGGAGCTTGAGCTTCCCACAAAATGTTTGCATCACCTACATAATAACACACATTTTACTTAGCTAGCCACATCAGAAGAACAATGGCTAGCTTTCACAAATGAATTAAACTCTTTCAAAGACTACTTATTATTTGAATTATCACAGGACAATCTAGATATTATCTGAATATGGAATACCCTTCATGATATAATTCTTAAAGCCACAAATAAACACATCCAAAAATTCAAAAAAAGACAAAAGAATCACAAGAAGAGGCCAGTTATCCACAAACCACTTTTCCTATTACAACTGAATAAATATAGAAGACAGCTGGTCCTCCAAAGAAAATGTCAGACAAACACTGACCAAGTAGAAGTAATACACTTCACAAAGTCAGTATGGATTCCTAACTATAATATCTAGGACATTATATCAAAATAGACATGTTTATAAAAATTGAAAGACTTGCCATGAAGAAATCAATCAAAGAAAAATCACGACTGACATAAAAAAGTGAAAAGAACTCTGCAACACTTGGTTTGATTAAGACAAAAAAACAAATGATCCACTTCATACTGGGTCAACCCAGGAAAAGTATTGTCATTAGCAAACTAATTAATAATGTATTCACCAAAAAGCACCCCATCACTGATCCACTAGAAATTAAAAAATAAGTTCAGTTGCACTTCAAAGAATGGATCAAATAATATCAGCTGCATGAATACAAGAAACTATCTGGCAACAAGAATATGAACCTAAAGAGAACATCAATCCTAGCTGATACAAAGAAGTTAACCTTCCTATAACACTCACTGAACTTATCAGATGTCTCAACAAAACTAGCAACAAATCTGCTCCGGCCCTCACAAATACTCTATATAGTATACAAACATATGAGCAAGGACTTCCTAGAGCTTATCACAATCTTCTTTAACAAACTCATTGACAAAGAAACAGTTCTGAAGAAATAGAAGAAGGGTACAATATATCAAATCCCTAAACCAAAGAAATGGCACAATGATATCAACATCTTGTGACCTATAACTCTTTTAGAATCAATCAAAAGACTATCCTTATAAACAGGTTGACAAAAGTCCTCACAAACAATCACATTCTATCCTCACACAACTGTACTGCACTTCCCAGATACAATATCAGGTAATCCATCACAATAATAAATCAAGTGCTGGAGAATACAAAAAACACACGAAAGCCTTGTTTCATACTTTTTCAGGATATGAGCAAAGCCTATGATACAGTTAATATAGAAAGATTAGTAACCTCAATGCATTGAATCAGAATTCCACCCCAAACAATCAACCTAATTAACAATTGTTTCCACAAATGAAAGAATACTGTCATCACGTAATTTAGTAACACAAACCCATACTCAGTTGAAGAAAGTATTGACCAAGGTGATACAATATTCCCCTTACTTTGGTGAATATACTATAACCCACTTATTTTTATTATCAACAATATGAAAGAATATCAGCTACAATGTCATAAACCTATACAAAGCAATCTTGCCCTTCCAGATATAAACATATCAATCATAGCATACATGGATAACACAACCTTTATCACTCAGGACAAAATGAATCTTCTAGATATCATTAATATAGTACCTCTTTTTATAACCTAAATGTCATTATAGTCAATCTACACAAGTCTAAATTGTTAATACTCAATGCACCCCAAAACAACATTCATGTCAACAACTTCAAAATAATATCAGCAGATCCAATAATAGCCATCAGAGTTCTAGGCATATGGCACAAAGCCAAAGCTGACAAGAAGTACCAACAAAATCCGATTATGTCCAAGACAACCTCTTTATATAATACACTTGCTCAAAAACAAATTACAGATAAAATGTACTGATACTTTATAAATTATGTAATCTTTCTTACCATAGAATACCTCTTACAAGACCTAGTTCTCTTACAAGAAGAATGTGTAAAGATTGATAAAAAAATCAGACATAGCTTTAGACAATGGGTTAATCTGGCCCATTCAGTATCCAACACTATGATTCACCTCAACAATCAATATGGCATCGTGAAAATACAAACCAGATAACTACAAAAACACACTAGTAATATACAACAACTTTTTTACAACTCAAATATAATCAACAACATCATGTACAGCAGTACCCATGAACTTAAATGGTTTGTATGGCAAAAAAAAGACATCTTAAACACCTGCCTATATATCTTCAAAAGCAATGCCAACTTTTTACAAAACTACCTACAGAATATCCAGAGACACAATATAAAAATCAACAGATTTACCATAGAATGCAACAAATTCAGAACCTACACCCTATAAAAGATTTCATCGAATATGACTGGTACACAAAATATAGGACAGCCCTCAGATCCCACCAGTTTTTCTAGATTGAACAACTAATTAGCTTATATATGACTAAACCACTAGAATGGTAGCAGATTGGGATGCTACACAATAAAATAATTAAGATAAAAGAGTCAACATGGTTTCCATACCTTCAATAACAAATAATGTTCTCTCTACAAAGCATCTTATTGCTTCATCCCTGAATCCACTAATCCAGATCAAGTCAAACAATTCAGAACAAATACAACACTCCTGATACATTATGCAGTTCAAATATCAACAAATCCTAAACAAATGTATTAGTAAAATATATAACACAATCAAAGTCAGACACTACGCTATAACAAATGACTCTCCAGTAAGTGCCTGTCCTAGTTGTAACACCTTCAATATCACTAATAACAGAGGCAAAATTTGCTGCATCAAAATATTGAAAGCCAACACCTTCAGGGTCCCTATAATCAACACCACAAAATTACACAGCTTATCAGACTTCACTCTAAAAAAAAGAATACAATTGTTACCCAACAGTATTAAATAATTCTTCACAGAGCCCAATCAAGTTTTTGATGGACTAGAAATCGACAGCACTTCACACATATTACAGGACCTTTTTCAAATCATTAACCTACATCCCTCAATCAAACAAGAACTCATCAAAGCATATTATAAAGTCAAAGATATCAACAGCCTCCATATTTATATAGATGAAGCCTACAACCCTGAAAATAGTCCTAACACATATGAAATAGGCATAAACATTAATGATAACTAAACAAGTATAGTTTCAATAGGACTACAACTGGAAGAACAACTGTCAGTGTACAGAGCCAAGATTCTGGCCACAATAATAGTCTTAGCCATAAGTGGACTTAAAAGATCTTTCATAATCAAAACTGACACATTTTCCCTCATAGGAGAATACAATGCATACGCCAAAAACAATATAAAAAAAAATCAAGGAACTAAGGCTCATCAACAATCTTAGTATAATAGCAGCATATCACTAGACCTCAATCATCTGGATCAAAACAAATAAATAGAATCACTCTACCACCCACCCTTTCCTCGAAGCTGATAGATTGATGAAACACCATAATAACAACAATGCGACTGGTCCTCAAGATCAGCTAATGGATACTACCCTTAGTGACAAGATTCATACCTTCCACTACAAAAACCAAACAGAAATTATCACAACCATCCAAAAGGCTTTCAAGCACATAAGGCAAATACAATTAACATATCAATAGATCATGCTAGACAGAAATAAAGATCTTTTTAAACAACAAGCAGAAGACATAGACTAGAAAGAGATGAATTAGAGGCTCTACCAATCAGCCATCAATTTCAACAAAACAGACTCATGGGATCACTACAAAGAAGCTTCACATTAAAACTATAGAATAAAGAGCTTTCTACAATGGACAAGCTCCACACCAGAAGATCAGACATATACAAATCAGATATATGCTTCGCATGTTTGAATACAAAAGATAACATTCATTCCTTCAAATACCCCTTCTATGGTATCTATATAGAACAAGTCACATTAAACACTATACATCAAGAGATAATAGCAAGAATTGATAATAATATTGACTGTGACATCAAACAGGAACTCACCTCAAATATAGTAGCAAACAATATGTAGAACAAGATTATCTCAGAAGGCATTAGCAAAACTATCCTAAAGATCATTGGCAAATACATAAAAATTAACAAGATAATAGAAACTGTTATTAATATCTGTAACATTATTATATTTTGGATATACAACATCTGGATTGACAGGTGTGGGTGCCTGTACCGTTGGAAAAAAGTACAAAGAATATCAACCACAAAAGAGAGAAGTACCATAAATCACATCCAAATAAACTAGAAAATAGAGATCTTGCATCCAACAATATGGAAGCATACCCTCCAGAACTCATACACAACATTCTTAACGAAACCCACAACATCCTCGAAATTTACAAAGAATATGCTAATGGTGCCTAGGGTTATTAGTTCCCAACAAGGATAATATGCCACGAGGGTTTTAAAGACTGAGCCTTGCTACCAATGGCGGTAGTACCCATTGGCCCAGGTAACAATTGGTTTTATTGTAACCATGTACACTAGACACATTGGAAAACTGTCTGTAATATAATCTTTATTCAATAAAATAACATGTTTTTGTATATAGTATGGGACACTTAAAGCTCAAAATAAAATACCTAACTTTCAAAACCCTAAAGCTTTTATATTGGAGGATTTAGACAAAAACTAATCCATAAGAATGATAGAGCAGATAAAGTAGAATAAAAGTTACAGTTTAGAATTTTTAATTAATTAAAAAAGTTTTGAGTTTTAGGTATTTGAAAAGCAACAGTTTTTTTAAGTTTTTCTTAAGTTTCTTAAGGAAAAAATGAAAATTTCGGACATCCAGTTTGTGCAACTTATTTGTGTAACATTCTATTATCCAATAAAGTAAAAGTTTAGCATTATTGTTCTCATAACATTCTTTATTGTTTTAATATGCCTCGACCAAATAAAAGAAAAGCTGCACATAAACAAGTGTCTCGAGATAAGAGAGGCAAATTTATTAAAGAAGATAAACTCAACATGATGGATACAGAATCAAGCACATTCGAATTAATGGAGATAGAATTGAGTAATGATTTATCAGGTGAAAATTTTTGGGAAAACAATGAGGTAAGTGATTGGGGAAGTGATGTTGATTCAGCGACAGAACAAGATATTCAGGACAGGCTTTCAAAGGATAATCTTTGGTTGAAGTGGAAAGCGGATGCAAGTTTAGAGAAAAGTAGACATGATCCTTATAACATAGGGAACCCACCAAAATCGACATATTATGATAAATGGGGACCAAGTGGTTTATGGACAGTAGCTGCAAAGGGAAGTCCGAAATTAGAGAGGTTTTTTAACCAAACAGCTACAGAAAATAATCAATAAATTGAATCAGTACAAGATGTTTCATCAGATGAGGAGTTTGCATTGCCATCGAAGAATAATGCTATAAGTTTAAAAAAAGATTTAGAGGAAATTTTCAATAGAATGTCAGCACCAGAGTATGTTAAGAAGAGAGTTATATTTGAGTACTTAGTGTGCTTACTAAAAGGTAAGAAAAAAATGAAGGCAAGTATGGAAGTGGTAAAGATGGTGTATAATAGTGGGTGTAAGTAAACAGCTACCTAGGTTCGAGAAATGGCAAAATATTGGCACAACAATTATACGTTGCCTATATTGTGTTGAGAAAAACATTAAAAACTTAGTAGAATAATTGATGATGAAGATATAGCAGAAAAATGTCATACGTGGATTCACATAAATGGCAGCCATACAACGCTGCATCAATTCAAAGAATTTGTTTAAGAATCACTATTACCAGAAATAGGGACCAACAAGACGATTAGCACAAAGATGGCATGTCGATGGTTAAGTATTCTTGAATATCATTATCAATAACACAAACAAGGCATATATTATGATGGCCATGAGAGAGAAGATTTTGTTGAATATCAGCAAATATTTTATTGGAAATGGCCAAGTTCGAAAAATATATGGCATCATATGAAGAAGAAGATATGAATAGAATTATAGAATTGCACCTATATTAAATTTCAGAAAGAAGAAGCACATATTAATCGTTCACGATGAATGCATTTTCTATTCAAATGATGGAACACATGGAACATGGGCTAAATCAGGTGAGTTGCCACTATGCAAAAAAAGTAATGGAAAATCAATCATGGTGAGTAAATTTTTAACTGAAGCTTGTAGAAGACTTAAACTTACTACTGAACATATTGAGAGTTATCCTGATGTTCCAGAAGAGACTCAAGTATATTTAAAACCAGGAGCGAATGAATAAGGATACTGGATAGTCACACACCTTATCGAGCAAGTCGCATATAAAGCTATTCCTATATTTGAGGCTTTATTCCCAAATTGCATTGCAGTATTTGCATTTGATAATAGTTCAAATCATTTCGCATTTGCAGCTGATGCATTAGTTGCAAAGAGAATAAATATTGGACCTGGTGGAAATGCACCAAAAATGCAGGATACTTTTTGGGGTCCAAATAATAAAAGACAAAGTATAAATTTTCCCAACGGTCGAACAAAAGATATAATGCAGATTTTGAGTGAAAGAGGACTGTGGAGAAAAAATATAGTAAATGAATGTAAATTATGTAGATTATTGTGAAAGAAAGATTATATCTCTTCAACCAGACTTTTTGGCTCAAAGATCAGCATTGGTTGAAATGATCGAAGATTCAGGTCACATCTGTATATTTTTCCCAAAATTTTACTGCGAATTAAATTTTATTGAACGGTATTGGGGAGCAGCCAAACAATTTGCATGAAATAATTGTAATTACATATGGAGTGGATTACAAGAAACAGTACCTCGTGCTCTTGATTATGTTAATTTAATAACTATTTGTAGATTTGCACGAAAAATGTGGCGATGTATAGATTTGTATAGATATGGAGTTATAGGTAAATTAGCAGAATATGTTGCAAGAAAATATAAATCGCACAGAAGAATCCTCGAACATGCATGGAAGGAGGAATTAAGAACAAATTAGTTTGATCAATTTTCTTAAATGTATTATATAAGTAAGCATGTGCTGTTCAATCTGCAACATTAATTTAAAGTTTAATATTAAAGTTTTGTTCTTACACAGAGATAATTTTGACCCGGAGTTTGAAATATCACAGATGAAAGTGTTATAATTTTCAAACTAAAGTGAAATTTGCATTATTATTTTAAAGAATTTTATTGGACAAATATCATATGATTGATAAATGATCTGCAGAACAAAATTTCAGACTGTTCGGTCTTTAGTGTCCCACACCATATAAACTCAATAAAATGGACAATGTTGCATGTTTTTTTAAAAAAAAAAAAGTTCTACTGGCTAATAGTAATAGAATTTATCAAATATAAATAAACATACTGCCTACTTGGCAAAGTAGAAAAGTCTTTATTGAAGAAATATTATATCTTCTCATCCTTAGTAACTATAGGCCAGTTATAATAGAAATAGAAGCATAGCAACTCAATTCAAGAAAAGAGCCTACCTACACAAATTCAATATCACATATAACTATTACTTAACAAACACTAAATAATGGAAAAAATTTGTACTAGAAATTGAAACCTCTCCAAGCAGACAAAAATCTGAGTCAATGTTTGTAGACAAACAATAAAACAAACTATAAAATTATATTTTTAGAGCAACAAAGTTACATATTTCCAAAAAGAAACAATAATGGAAAAGAAGAATATCCAAAGAAAACAAGCTGGTAAAAAGGCCACTTCTTCAATTACAACTTCTTAAAAACTAAATAAAATTGATCTTGAAAATAAATAACTTTCCTTCAAATATATTAAAACTTATTAAGGAAAGCTAACAGAATTTAAATAACAAATGGAAGAAACTAAAAAGGTATATACAAATAACTATTTATTTCACTGGTTCACACATATTGTTGTGGGCTTAACCAGCAAGTCCGTCGCTAAACCGTAGTGCCTTGCGTAACTCAGACATCTCACAAATATTCACAAAGAATAGAATGCCTCCTATAAAGAACACTTAGGGAAGGTAGAGGTGTGGTGATTGACTTGACCGAAGATAAGTGTCTCTTTATTGCATTCTGTTTCTTTGGTATCTCACTAATTCTTATCTCTATTCTCAAGGAGGGCTGTTTTTCTAACACATTCAGCTCTGCCTTTTCGGCATATATTGGTAAGCTATTTATACTTTTCTAACTAACAATAGGCTATCTACTTTATA